TATATTATTAAGAATATATTTTAATTAATATATATTTAATATTATATTGTTTTAGTATGTTTAAATATGCATAAGGGAAATAAATTTGAATGTATAATATAAATTTATATACTGAATACGCACTATACATTTTCTTAAATAGATTAAATATATAAATGCTAAAACTATATTACTGACGTTCATACAACCAATTCCATAACCACGTTTAGGATCTTGATAATAACTTTCTACAAATCGTTTTGCTATGTCAACAATATCCAAATCTCGTTTCTCAATTAAGGATTCAGCTAGAGAACGAGTCATTGCCGAATCATCTGAAAACTCCATAACGGACTCTATACAATTAAAAGAGGTTTCGTATAAAAAAATTGATTTACAAAACAAATTAAAAATATAGATAAAATATAGATAAAAAATATATATATAGAAAAACAATGTACGAAGTTTGTACGGCAATAATTCGTGCGAAAAATAATAACACATGAGAAATCAACGGCGAGAGAAACTTTATTATGAATAAAAAAAATTTTTAATGAGAATAAATCTAACCTCTAAACTTTATTTCCTCCAACATATCGAGTTTTCGTTGTAAGTAGATTTTCTTGCGACTTGACATGACTTCTCTGTTCTCGTATGGTCTTCCAAGAATATCTCCGACCAAAACGCCCAGCATTGTACCGCGAAATTTATTTTTCAACAATTCCAAGTTCATCTTTAACAATAATTATTTTCCATTTACACTCAGGTGATACTGAATCACTCAGTTATGTATTTTATATTCAGATTAATAATGTCATTATTAAGTGAATAAAAGGAAATAGGCAAATACAGGTTTATGACTTTCCTTGCCAACACCAAAAGAACGTACATTCAATTAAGTTGACGTCACAGTATATCGAATGATGACGTCCGACGCGCATGTGCTGAAAAGAAAATTCATTTATACACTGACTATAGCTACGGTCAAAGGCCGGTATTCATAGTCCGATCTTATATTTAAGATCGTCTTAAGTCTGGTCCGAGGTTGACTTAAGACCTCCTTCAACCAATCAAATAGCTGCGTAGCATTTCAAGCTCGAACTTAGGACGATCTCAAATATAAGATCGGACTATGAATACCGGCCTGAAAGGCGATATTCCCTCTATGGACATTGAAAACGTGGACATGAACTACAAAGCCAATGTCCATGAATGTTCTCAGAGGATAATATATAATGTGTACAATTTCTGGTGTTGTTCCGTGCTATGTGCCGGTAGCACCAGTGCTATCAGTGCAAGATACTTATGTATGTAAATTGATAGTAAAATAAATTATTCAATCGCGAAAGATATTGTAATATTCAAAGATGAAATAAATATTTTTCTATATTCATTGTCATTTATATCTTTTTATTTACAAAACACAAAGTGCCTGCTGTGGGATAAAAATATTTTTAACCGTATTTATATAAATCTTCTTAATCAGCAGTAAACTGATCTTCGATATTTATCAATCATTTTTTTAATTATTTAAAAATTTAATTATTAATACATATATAGAATTTGTCAAATTAATCTGATTCTTCTGAAGTTTTTATAATTAAGACTCGAAAAATATAAATGTTGCAATATATTTTAAGTCTCTTCCTTTATATAAAATATAAAGAATTCATATGTTTCATTTTAATATAGCTAACATTATTCTTATATATTTTTTATTATAATTTTCATAATACTTTTATGCTTAATATCTTATATAATACAATGTACTAAATTATAAAATTTAATATAATTACAAAATAGTATTACTATTAATAGTATTTACTATTAAAAATAAATAGTATTACTATTAATAATAGGTTGTATGCATATTATTAACTGTCTTTTAGTTTCTATCATTTCCAATCACTATACATTTCCATATATTCTCTTCTTCGAGTTCTTGGATTATTATGATTTATTGCATTCCTTTGTGTTAACATCATAAAAACCACTTGTTATGCTTATTCCTTCCTATGGAGTCCATCGGAATACATTGTATGAAAATTTGTTCTCAAGTAGATATTCAAATCATTGTAGTTGCCTTTTTCTATTTTTTCGATTATTGTTCCTTTTTCTTTTATTTTATTTAAAATATTAATATAATTAATATAACAAATATTTATATAATTTTGGTATCTCTCTTAGAGATCTTCCCTAACCGCGTAAATAAATGTCCGAGATTACGTACTATTGTACGTAAAGCTTTTCTTCAGGCCAGTTGAATCTACCTTTCGTTGGTCTTGGCCACTTTCTCGCTCGATCTCTAATCAGAGATAGAAAAAGGAGATAAACACTCCTGCTTTTGCCGATTAATTACTGGCAAATGAGGGTAAGTATTTCACGTTATCGTATATTTATCGTAACGATCGCTCGATTTTACGATCGTTCGTTAAATATTGGAATATAACTTTATTTTAACTCAAATAAAGCCAAATTACTACAAATTTCTATATATTATATTTTCTATTAAAATATAAAAATATAAAAATTCATGTATGTGTATAACTTTTATGATATTACAAATTATAAATTAATTAATTAATCATTTGGCTTTATATTAAGTTAAAGTAAAGTTTAAAAACAATATTTACAAATAAATTCTACGATGAATGAGGTATAAGAAATAAAAATAAAATAAGTACGTTATAAGAATAAAGTAGCATTAAAAATTGATAAAATTATTAATGCGTATTCTTTATTTAATAAATTAGATAAAATCTTTACAAAAAAACTTTCTTTTCTTGATTCTCTTTTTTTAATTATTACTTTAACATATTTTCGCAATAGATGCAAAGCATTTCGAAAGAATTTATTAAATGTTAGGGTCATTGAAAAAAGTGTAGTCGACCAAACTAGCCAGAAAATTTGTTTATTAATACGACGTTTCGACCATATGGTTGTGGTCCTTACCAAGTATATACTGGAAAAGATTTATAAATTAATTAATTAACGGTTTAAATATATAGTACGCTCAACGAATTAAAGTGTAACAATTTTTTATTACATTGGTATATAAAAAATTGTTACACTTTAATTCATTGAGCGTACTATATATTCAAACCGTTAATTAATTAATTAATTTATAAATCTTTTCCAGTATATACTTGATAAGGACCACAACTATACGGTCGAAACGTCGTATTAATAAACAAATTTTCTGGCTAGTTTGGTCGACTACACTTTTTTCAATAATCCTCTGATTATTTGACTAGCGACATTAAGATATTTATAATTATTAAATGTTATTTAATTTAGTTTAATTTATCCTAGCTCATTCATTTTAAGGCAACAGATTTATCTACAATCTACAATCTACATCTACATCTTCATCTACATCTACAATTTTTACGAATCCGTTACCAGTTAAATAAAAGATTTTCTCACTCACTGACACTGATGCGCAACAGCGGAGTTGTTGTTATCGAAGCTACGTTGTCTGTAACATACGAATATAAAATACATTTATATTAATGCTCACAAAATGCAATTAATATTTCAATCAAAAGTTTTAATTGCGCGGAATTTTATATCCGATGTGTAAAATAATAAGCAGAGATAAACACGTGTGCAAAAATTTTATATATTTTTGAATATATTTTATATATAATATATAATATATATTATATATTATGATTTTTATAAAAATCTTCTTTCTAATTTTCTTTTTGATTTATTTAAATAATAAGATTATTTAAATAATAATTGATTTATTTAAATAATAATCGAATTATTGTTCGTTTATAATGATTTATAACAATTGATATACAAATAATAGATACTTACCATCAGGTTGTTCCACCGATGCAAGATGCCTCTCCCAGACCTCCTGCTCCTCTCATGTTGTTGACGCGCGATACTTTCAACGGCACTCCCGCACTCACGAGCGATATTTTTATATCGCTATTTTCGTTATTTCACGCGCGATACTGAACGGCATTCCCGCATTATTTCGATGCGATTAAAAATTTTATATTTGATCGCGCGATGTATATACTTAATATGTATATACCTTTAACGGCACTCCCTATGTATATACCTAACGCGACTCGTTGACGAAGCACTTGTCGTCCGCGGCACATTGACGGCACCGACGACGCGAAAGGATACTTGGCTTCCCATTCAGGCACCTTAAGATTTATCATAAATTGGAAAATTTAAGATAAACCTCAAGGCACCGTCCAGGTACTAAGTCCTCCCACCGCGACAAGGTGTACCCCATGGGAGGGTTATATTATATTATATATAATTTTATATATAATATAATATATAATTAATTTTGTAATATACTATATAAATTTTAACTCGCAAATATAAACGATAAATAAAAATATAAAAGATAAGACAAAATCTATTATATAAAGCAATGTTCAAAATAATTGTTAGAGAAAGAATTTGATAATATATGGAACGTCTCACATCACTACCTCATTGTTCGAAGGCCACTGAGGGAATGATCGTAGGTCAGAAACATTACTGCGATACTGTTTATATCGCCAAGGTTGACTATGTAGAGAGAGAATTTGATAATATATGAAACGTCACTACTTTATTGTTCAAGGTTACTGTGCGAATGATCGTAAAACGTCGTTGAAATATTCCATGAATGATTGTCGATTAAGAAAATTTAAAGCATTGATCGAAATTTATTTAATTTTAATAAGTATTGTTAGAGAAATTATTATAATAAGCATCAATAATCGAAAGATCATAATAAAATTAATTTCTTTATTACCTTAAGATTTATCATAAATAGAAAAATTTAAGATAAACCTCAAAACACCATCCAAGTACTAAGCCCTCCCACCGCGACAAGATGTACCCCATGGAAGAGTTATATTATATATAATTTTATATATAATATAATATATATTTTGAAATTTATTTTGTAATATAGTATATAAATTTGCATAACAAGACCCTAAAACGAAATTATTAGCGCGGTACTGTTTATGTCGGATACTATGTTGTTGTTAATTTATTGTTGAAATATTGTAACATATTAATGTATTTCATATATCTAACGCATTAATGTATTATAAGATTAAAAGATTAAAATAATTACACGTCGTGATACATAGCTATTGTTTAATTAACAATGATTTAATTAACAAGGAGAATATTTAAGCATTGGTAGAAATATATTTAATTCTAATATTGTTAAAGAAATATTACAATAAGCATCAATGATTGAAACATAATTAAATCTATGCCCTTTTACGTATTTTCTGTTTTAATTTTTATTCGCAGTAATGAATGATTGCGATTCGATAAAGATTTATCGTACAATATAGTTTCATATCATTAATTAATTTTTAATTAATTAATTTTTATTTGTATTTATAGAAAATTATGTTTCAATACTAATCATAATCGTGTTTAATAAAAAAAATTATAATATACGAAGCATTTCTCATCGCTACTTTATTACTCGAGAGTCACCGTGCGAACGTGATGACAAAGCGATAACGTATAGAGTGCTACTGTTTATATTTTATATTGCCAAAATCGAACGCCGTATTATCGATAATTTGTTGCCGAAATATTTTATATATTATTATATAAAATATACATTAACGTGGAATATTAAATTATGAAAGTATTTTAATTTATTGATTAAAATTGATTATTTATCAAATAATTCACCGAGTCTTTTGTTATGCTAATTATTTGCATCTATAATTCGATTATTTTACTTCGTGCTCTCTCACAATACAAATTATATTTAGATTGTCAAGAACGATAAAGTGACACGGATGAAATATATTTGTGACTCTAAATATTAAAATAATAATTATTGTCCGTAAAAATCACAATCATCGAAGTGATTATTTAATATCTTGGATTCCTATCATTTAATCGTT